CGGGCAGTCTAAAACCAACACATCAATCATATGCTCCTCGTTGGTAAACACAAGATCCAGCATAGATTGCCTGTTACCAGTTCTGAACCGAGTGGGCAAAGTGATGTGATGGTAAAGAGTAACAGTAGTTACTAGATCTTGTAGATCGGCTTTTAATTGTTCTCCGATCGTGGCGGGAGTTGCTAAACAGTGTACGTTGAAATCACCCATGATAAGAATGTGAGTGTACTTTTGTTGTAAACTGCATCTTAAACCAGCCGCTAGGTGGTAGTCGGTTTCGGGTGTTGGGTTAGGGGCGCGGTACACCAAGACAATAAGGCGAACGTCCCTGCCTTTTAACTGCAACCAGCACCAAAGAGAGTCGGCGAACTGCGAGTCTGAATCCACCACGGCTTCGCACTGTAAGTCGTTTCGATAATACAGGAATACCCCTCCTCCTTTTGTGAGCCTGTCATTCCGGATCAGCGAAACGCCCGGTAGCGAAACTTCAGCGTCCGTCATTTCCGTGTGCAACCACGTCTAGGAGATACTAATGATACAAATTGTGTGTGCGCACTCGTTAGAGCGAATTATTGTATGCCGCAATACCTTGTGGTATCCATGCAATCATGTGTCAAGAGTACGAAAACCTAACAAAGTAGTTGGAGTTTAAAGGTGAAAATATGCACAGGAATAGAAAAGGCGTCGGCATGTATAATGGACTGCATGACGACCGCAGTGCGGAGTATAGCGGCCGTATGGGTAGGTTTTGGCAACATTAGGTTCCAGCAGTGAACGCGTCAAATAAATTGAATGACTAGCCTCATCATCATCATCATCATCATCACTATACAACTATTGTGTAGAAATACATAAGCATAAGACAAATGAAAAAAGCAAGAGGCTGAAAAATATAGATGCTAAAAAACAGGCGACAGACTACTTAGTAACATATTACCCGTTAAGAGGAAGATCAAGGTTGGAGGGGGAAGATAAGCGGGATGGGGAGGGACAAAGATATGCACAACACAAACGCCATTGAGGTCGGCTCCTTGCCATGCCAGCTAGTGTATATAACCAAACGTGTTCATCGTCCTTCAGACCCCAGCCAGGCAGTCAGGATGTACCAACCGACGCCAACTTCGAAGTGAGGGATTTCATTCCTCTTAAACAAATCATCGCTTGGCCACACCTCTTCTTACATTCACACCCCCGGCGTGCGAATAACGCGCGATGCGGGAGTCGGTGGGTTGGCATGTGCAACACATGGCCCAGCCATCGGAGCCTGGTGCGTGATATAGTGGTGCTGAACGGTTCGCCCGCTTTTCCTGCACCAAATACACGACGCCGAACATGCTCATTGCTCACGCGATGCCCCCACCACATATGAGCTAAGCTGAGAAGGCAGCGATGATCGAAGGAGAGTAGTCACCTTGTCTGTTGACTTGATGGACCAGATTTCGCAACCATATAGTTTGGTCGAACGAACAGCTGCATTGTAAACTCTACCCTTCAGGGTGAAAGTGTTATCGCGCCGGCGCCACAGATACTGGAGATTGGCAAAAGTGCCTCGAGCGTTTGCTATATGATTTGTGATCTCATCTTCTGTTCCACTGGCGCTGATACAGCTGCGTAGATACTTATATTTCTCGAAGAGTTCTATCTGATCCCCACCAAGGGTCAGCGCAGGGGTGGGTACTTGCCAATCTTGGAGAAGGAGTTTGTATTCCGAGGGTGCAAAGCATAGCCCAAAACGGCTGACAAGCAGTGTTTATTTGTCCAGTGCCACTTGGCAATGTAGTCGGCGTACTCTAAGTCAAGAAGTCGTTCACTTGGGAGAAGCTCCAGGCATTGAAGGTCGTGTTCAGTGAATGCAGTTTCCATGACCTCGTCAATGGCTAGCCTTAAGCCAGTTCACATATAACTGCGGAGTTAGTTACATTGGCAGAACCGATGGAGCATGTCTTCCAGGATGAAGGAACATGTACAAAAGTGGATGTTGCGAGGGATAAACGAACAGCCTTATCCTTCCTAAGCCCCGTCGTTGCGCAAGCCGCCGGCATCCTCCATAGGCAAACAACGATTACTGATCACTGGACCCGGCTCGATAACGTATTCGAAATTCTTCTGCAGCACTCTAATCCGCGATTTCGTCGTTTCGCTGACACTATCGCGATTAGCCGAATGCAGCCTATGCTGTGCGTGCACCATCATCATCATTATACACGTTAGTCAGGGGTGGAAAACACCTCAGCTACAGTGAGTCGCAATACATAAAAAAAGCAAAATGCAACAGATACAGGCCAGCTGAGCTACCAATTACGGATAAGCATCGTTCCGGAAAGCTACCAGCTGGCTAATATGTGTGCACAAACAGCTATTCATCAGTCTCAGGCTCCCGTGGACATAAAGACCGAATCGTTTTCGTCCATCTTGATCCCCAAGTTTGTTTCCGTGTTCGGTCACATCCACCGTTTGTTATTGTTTCTCCTCGGTTATTGTAACTGGTACTGAAGAGACAATACGAAATGCTTGCATCTACCAAATGTCGTCTTCCTGCTGTATTTCGCAAATAAATAAGTAAATGCGTGCGAGCGCGCTAAGGCGTGGGTAAAACATACAAAAACTGCATCAACAGGTGTTCGGAAAGAGAAACGCACTGCGGTCACGGACACTGATAACTTCAGCGACAGTCAACTGTCAATCATGCAGGTCCGCGGCTGTCACCCATGGCGAAGTGGCATCCTTAGGTCATATGGGCGAAACCCGGCAGGGGTCCGCTGAAAGGCGCACCAATGATGAGACCTAGAAGGTCGAAACCACCGTGTCTGATGCTTTTCTAGACTATCCTAAGCCTGCTGACTAAGAGTGGACAGTGATGAACTATCTCTAACGTAAAAATTGCCTCATGACAACTACTGATTTCATACTACAAGACAAACATGATAATGCGGACATTGTAGGCGGTGCAATGAGCAATGGTCGTGAAATCATAAATTTCAGCTAAAGTTCAGTTGCTGGGTGACCGGCATTCGGTTAAAGGGCACGAAATGATACCACAGATTTGTTGCGGGACTCGCACAGCCCCAGGAAACCTGAGTCGATTTCGCCAGAGCTCACCTCAGATATGCTGTGGGGTGACTGAAACTGCACTGATAACATCCGTTCCCATCTTCAGGACATTGCTGTAGCATGCACCTCAAGTCGCAGTGGACCAACTGAGTTTTCTCAGAACAATAACAGCACTCGGTAAATCATGTGTCTTGTCAAGATCTACTTTCCTTTATAGTTTACGTAACACGAACAACTGTGCATATATGATAAACCCTTAGTAGTTTCGGAGCAGATGTTCCTGGGTTTCAACTACATTCGTTAGGTAGCCGATAAACGCAAACCGATCAGTGCTCCCGGGGATGTGGTATCAACAGCATTTCCAGAGAAAGTTTCGCGTAACTGGCACAGCATCGCATTTCGTGTGACCGAACAGTTCTAGTTATTACTTCACATGAGAAAGGTAAAAAGATGAAGCGTGAGAAGGGAATGAGCTAATATAGTGACAACTGTCGAAGTTGCAACTCGGTGTCAAAAGAATGGGCACATTTCCAGAATCTATGTATTTGACCAAGTTGGGCTACAGGCCTGAAGTCGGACAACCGTACTGCGTCAGCCCATGATGCCAAAAGTGAACGCTGCTCTGGCTATGACGGAGTGTTCAATACAATGATCGATAGCGGTTGATCGATGATCATGGTGGTTGGGTTAGTTAGGATTGTTCTAACCATAACAGTCGCAGTTAAACTAGTACATCTCGGTTTACGCAAGGTAGATAGCTCGCTTCACTTCGCAAGTGATTATGTGTACTGGGGGGAGCGAGCAGTCTGAGAGATGGGTTTCAGAAATAACTCCACGACTGAGGGACAGGTGAAGAATCTCCACATATGGACGTAAACGTGGTGGCTCTCACATAAGATATCCTCAAACGCAACCTGTAGGAGGAGCGTGTAGAACATTTGTTGAGTGGAATTCAAAAGAGAAACTATTTCTCACGATGTAATGTCTTTCGCTATCAAGCCACGAATGGAAGTTAACTGAGGGTGGACTGCTAATGAGCCCGTGGGACACAATACCCGCCAACTTTCGCGGTGTTGATAGCCGCGTCGGTGTTAACTGCTAAGTCCTGCAATGACCTATAATGTGTCACATACAAAAGGGTCCACATAGTATGTTCAGGTTTCACGGACAAGTAAACCATTATCACCACTTTCACTGAAAATTTGCGCACAGTGACAAGCGATAATGGATTGTGGGCACTTCCTTTGGAGTACTCAGGAAGTATGCCTCACCTAGTAGTGTTCAAAAAGTTGCAGAACCAGATCATCTGACCTTATCGACTCCACTGGATTCACCTCCAGGTGTAGTTGCCTGAAGAACCGTGGTTTCGCCTGCCACTCCACGAGTATAAAAGTGTGAAGTAGACCTAATTATCCGGCAAATGTTAGCTATCTAACGGATTCCTCACAAGCACCCCGGAATACTGAGTGTGCGTGTTCAGAGGGCAAATCTGCTGGTTTAATTTGCAAACTATAACGCCTGTAACAATGAGGGACGAATATTATCAGTGTCGGCCCAAAACACGGTTTAGTGTTGCACTATAATAAGAAGCTGCTACATGCATGGTTTGTCGGGTTCATTTGGAATAATATGCTAGGGTGTCTTACTATGCGCATGAGTAGGAGATTTCCAGGTGATTTCATGGAGAGTTCATTACCGTATTTGAGTAGGCTGTCAACTGAACGAGCAGGAACTCCACCATGCGCTTTATATACCCACCCAACTTGAAGTTACCGAGATGAACTCTGAATAAAATTTCGACGTAGTATATGTACTACTACCACTATCACGATCACACAAGCACTAACACCTGGAGACCTAAGACTAGTCCTGTGACCGATCACGGGTACTAGCTCAGTCAAGTTCAACAGGGGCACATTGTTGTAACGGGTAATGTACATAATACTTACCAGCGCTTAGAGGTCGTCCATCTTTGAACCATTGGACCTGGACGTCTGGAGGTGAAACGCGCAGCTCCAAGTGTACCGGTTCGCCTTCAGGAACTTCAGTTATTCCGTCAATCGCGCTCAGTAATTGTGGAGCAGAGCTGGCGTTGTCCGTGGAGTGGTAAGCTGATGGCATGGTTAATGTCGACATGGTACAAAGCGCACTGTGGCAAAGTGTGATTCTCGAAAGGCTGTAGCCACCGTGCTCTGTCCACTACTTAAGCGAAACAGCACTACGACAACAATGGCTAGGGGCAATATTCAGGGGCGGTGAAGGTTGCACCTATCCCACGCACGTCCGCAGAAGTGCGGCCGCTCTATGCAAAGGACGGTGCGTTCCACCACACTCATGCATGTGTCCGCCTACCTAATTGCATCAGCCCCGGTCGTCTACACGTGTCATGTACAGACAGATAGCCGTTTGTGTCAGCGCTCGGCCAGGCACGCATTGGCTGAAGCTATCGATCTGTGCTGAGCGTCGCTAACGCTAGGTTAAGTGGTGACGTGCCTTATTGGCCATAGTTGGCGTGCCAAGGCGATCTAGCATCCTACCGCCCCTTGCTGTCGCGCACCCTGTGATGCGTGCACCTTGGGCACCAGCTCGGTATTTTTAGATGTGGCATAGTAGTGCCAACTTGGACATGACTGCGGTTTTTGCCTCAGTTCCTTACTGGCCTCCGCTTCCTCTTAAGTAGAGTGCAATTGGCCATCTAACACATCGCTGCGGCGATCAGTTCGAGGAATCTACACGGTTGCACCGCCAATAAAATCTGTAAGTACGCAGTGGACCATGGAAGTCGAAAGAGCTTTGGTTACCCCACACGTCTTTGGGGATTATGTTCGAATGGGATACAGTCAGAGGCGTAGCAAAGGGGAGTTGGGGGGGCGGTCCATCCCGGACGGCGTGACAGGGCGCAGCAATTTTAGTACAGATGTTTGTTAACTACCGAGTACAACTTCTTCAAAATTACTTCCATGACTTTAGTGGTAAAATGCAAGGGTAATAATCATACCGAGACGGAAGATCTCTGGGCAACAAAAAGCGACATTGACATCATGGATGCAGCGGGGGAATGTTTGTGTTGGTGATGCAGAGAATACGTGCCAAGTTGTTTAATTGGAGATGCAACCAAACTTAGGCACAATAACGATTTTTGCATGTCTGTCAGTGGCCTGTTAAGATTGGTCACGAAATTCTCTCTATACTTGTCCGGCTCGAATCTACTATGTGGTGCTACCTGGAATGAATACAAAACCTGAGGCTAAGAAGCTAACAACGAACTAAATTTTTCGCGATTTGCGTAATGTTGTGCAGACTGAGAACAACAGTCAGCGAACAGGGTCGTTTTCGGTGGATCGCGTCACACTGGTACCCCACAACTGATACGAATAAAATGAGTTAAAACATTAGACAGGAGTAAAATGTCTAGATCCTTTAAATGATGATGGTGATGACGATGATTATGATGACGAAGTACCGCACCGTACAATTTCTCTGCTTTTTTTCTAATTTATAGGGTTGCCTGTACTGGGAGCCCAGAGAGCGATTCGAGAAGACGGATCGAGTTGCAGGGAAACTTTTATTGGTACAGTAAAAGATTCCATGTCATCTAGCTATAAAAGAATGACACCGTGGACGCTCTAGCTAGGGAAATGGAGCAAACACAGCACACAGGGCAGTTGCGAGTTGCAACCGAAACGAGCGCCAAGCAAAAATGGCGATGAGCAAGTAAAGCATTTGAACGCAGCAAGCAGTTCAACAAACCACACCGGTTGCCTAGGTGTACAATTATAGAATTTTGGGTAGAATTTTACACAGGCAAACCGGGGAATCTCCAGACTGCTACATAGCCCTCTCCCAGAAGGGACTGTGTAAGCAGTCCTTCGATCTACGTGAGGACTGTCTGTCGCGGGCCAGCCTTCTGCGAGACCAGGTTGTGAAACCTGATGCAGCTGCTGGGGGAGAACCATGCAATCGGACCCTAGCGGGCTCCCACCCGTGTCCTCCCTACGGTGTCGAAACGGTAAAAAACTGTTTGTGGGGGGGGGGGGGACAGTTAGTAAAGTTCACGTGGGCGGTTGAACAGGAAGTTCGTTCCACTTGCAGTTGACGTGCGGAGATCCAGCGAAAGTGAAACCGAGATGCAACCAACCGGCGGTGTATATGGAAAGTAAAATGAAAAAGCAGCGTAAGTGCATAGCCGTACACAAAAGAGTGTAAAGCAAAAAACGTGCAAAGCTGTTTTTGGGTTTTCAAAAGATTTTGCTCTTTTTTGGTAATTTCAAAACGTTTTGATCTTTTTTGTGGATTTTCAAAAATGTTTGGTAAGAGCAGAAAATTTCTAAGGCACGTTCTACGTAAAATAGTGAGTGCTAACAAAGTCCGAAAAACGAACAGGAGGTTTGAGCTTCCTACCGCGTCGATTGACAGTAGGGCGAGTAGGAGTGCTGTCGGTTGCGGTTGTAGGTTCTGCTGGAGAGGGCTGACTCGTCTGAGGTTGCGGTGCGAGCTGTGATGGCACAGGCTGTGAAGGCGTTTGTTGCACCGAAGAGTCAGACTTGTCGAGGAATGCTGGCTTGAGTCGATCGATGTTGATCGTCTCAGTCTTACCATTGTAGTCAATGGTAAATGTCTTGTCATTTCTGAGTACGACACGGTGCGGACCAGAATAGGGAGGTTGAAGTGGTCGGCGTACGCTGTCAGTGCGAACGAACACATGCGTGCAAGTGGTTAAGCGTTCGTCCACGTTGGTACGCAAGCTCTGTGCTCTGGGTTGCACAGGCTGAAGCTGTCGCATGTGATGGGATAGGCGAGCTGCGTAGTCGCCATAGTCGAAGGTTGTTGGTGCTTTTGGTGAGACGAGTTCACCAGGTAAGCGTTGTGTGCATCCAAAGACTAGCGACGATGGAGTGGCGTGCAAGTCCGCTTTAATCGTGTTTCTTATGCCTAAGGGAACGAGCGGCAGTGCTTCGTGCCAGGATGTGCTAGATTGGGCACCGAGTGAGGCTTTGAGTTGCCGGTGGAACCTTTCTACCATCCCATTAGCTGCTGGGGGATGGTATGCGGTGGTTCGGTTATGTTGGCGACCAAAAACGTCGAGCAGTTTGCTGAAGGATCCGTCAAAGGGCGATCCTCTGTCAGTGATAACTACGCTTGGGCAACCGAATTGAGCTACCCAGCGTTCTAGGAAAGCTTGCGCAACTGACTCAGATGAGCAGTTGACTATCGGAATCGCCTCTGGCCAACGGGTGAATCGGTCGACACAAGTGAGTAGGTACACGTAGCCTTTGCATGGAGACAAAGGTCCGACCAGGTCGACATGGACGTGTGCAAAACGAGAGTCAGGAGCGGGAAAGACGCAGAGTGGGCTTTTGATGTGTCTGTATACCTTGGCGCGCTGACACTCTAAGCATGCGCGTGCCCAAAGGCGGATATCGCGATTGACGTTGGGCCATATGAAGCGTTCCGTTACGAGCTTCTGTGAAGCACGTATGCCGGGATGAGACAGGTTGTGTAAAGCATTGAAAACTAGTCGACGCATTGAGGTAGGAACTACGGGTCGGGGAGAAGTTGCTGAGGCGTCACAAAGAATGGTCCCCTCAGATGAAGCTAGTGGCACTTCGCGTAGTTTCAACGATGTGTTGCGTCGCAGCTTGTCTATGTCTGGATCAGTTTGCTGAGCAGCAGCCATGTCGGCTGGGTCAATGTTGGTGCCAGGCGATAAGCTTATCTGCTGAATGCGTGAAAGCGCATCCGCGACGGGATTGAGAGCACCTGAGACATGTCGTACGTCTGTCTTAAACTGAGAAACGTAGTCTAGGTGTCTAGTTTCCCGCGGAGAATACTTGTCTGTTGCGCCATTGATTGCGTAGATCAATGGCTTGTGGTCGGTGAAGACTGTAAAATTTCGACCTTTGAGATAATGACGGAATTGTCGGATACCTAGGTAGATAGCTAACAGTTCCCTACCGAAGGTGCTGTAACGCGATTCGGCAGGTTGTAAACGTTTCGAGAATAAACCTAGAGGTATCCATCGATGGTCGATGAGTTGCTGAAGAACTGCACCGACGGCAGTGTCGGATGCGTCAGTAGTCAGGGAGAGTGGTGCAGACGTGTCTGGATGGGCGAGAAGCGCTATGTTGGAGATAGCGTCTTTGAGCTTCTCGAAAGACAGTCTAGCGTCGTCTGTAAAATGAAAGGACCGTTGTTTACCGCGGAGCAAGTCAGTCATTGGTTGAACAATGCTCGCGCAGTTAGGTATAAAGCGTCTATAATAGTTAACCAAGCCAAGGAATCGGCGTAACTGCTTGAAGGAACTGGGAGCAGGATAGTCCTTTAGTGCCTGGATTTTGTCTGGCAGAGCTTCAATACCAAAGGCTGATATGCGGTGGCCAAGAAAGTCGATGGAACTTTGGCCAAGCTCGCATTTATCGGGGTGGACGGTAACCCCATGCTGGGTTAAGCGTTGGAAGAGAGCGTCAAGGTGATGAAGATGTTCGTCATTAGAAGAGCTGGCGATAAGAATGTCATCTAGATAAGGATAAACGCCTTCGAGTCCTCGCGTTACCTCATGAATGAAACGCTGAAAAGTTTGGGCAGCGTTGCTGAGGCCGAAAGGCATTCTGAGGTACTCGAATAGTCCAAATGGCGTGATGACTGCTGTTTTAGCAATGTCGTCTGGCGCCAAAGGTATCTGATGGTAGGCGCGAACTAAGTCGACTTTGCTAAAGATAGACTTGCCAGGTAGAGCTGAGGTCAAGTCGTGCATGTGCGGAATGGGGTATTTATCCGGGACGGTAACTTTGTTAAGTGCCCTGTAGTCACCACAGGGTCGCCAGTCACCGGATGTCTTCGGTACCATGAGTAAGGGTGCTGCCCAAGGACTTTTGGACGGGCGGATGATTCCCAGTTCGAGCATTTGCTCGAATTCCGCCTTAGCAGCTTTGAGCTTGTTCGGGGCTAGTCGGCGAGGGCGGGCCGAAACAGGTAGGCCCTTAGTGCAAATGTGATGCGTGACGTTTGACGTCACAGGAGGCAAGTCGCTCAGGACGCGAACGAGTTTAGGATGCTTGTTGAAAAGTTCTATGTAAGGTTGTGAAGCTTGAGGTAGAACACGAATGGGAGTGATAGCAGCCACGTTGGCGCTAGTCCCGATAAAACTGAGCTGTGTCCTAGAGTCGAAAAGCTTCTTCCTTTTAGCGTCGACGATGAGGTCGAAGCGTTGAAGAAAGTCTATGCCTATGATAGCGAAAGGCATGGCAGCGATTATGAAAGGCCAGCGAAAGTTTCGCCGGAGGCCTAAATTGAGCGTTAACAGCTTTTCGCCGAAAGTTGCGATTGGTTTGCCATTGGCGGCACGCAGCTTGGTCGGCG